CTATGGTTTCGTATGAGTCATCACTCCTATCTCATTAAATTCTCTATTCCACTAATCGGGTCCGGACCTCAAATAATCCCCCTAGGTCCGGTCCTCTGGTCCGGTCCTAAATATCCGCCCAGGCCCTAGTAGGGTACTTTGTCCACAGGCCCCTTCGCTCCCCTGTCTCTCCATGCGACAACCTTCAAACAGCGATTACTTATGCACGTGCCCACCCTGAATTTGCCAAACATTGCCCCATCTGTCAAGAGGGAAAATGAAAAGCAAGCCAGTTAGACATACCATATCCGATTCGGCCCGGCTGAGCAGTTCCATGTAGACTTACAGGGTCCCATGCCTAAATGTCGTTATGGTAATCGCTACTTAATGAATATGATTGATGATGGAACACGCTACGGCATTCATTCTGCCATGAACGACAAGGCCGATACCACCCGTGAACTTCTTGCCCTCCTTGTGCAAGTACCTGCTCATTACAAACCGCATACAATGATTGCGGATGGAGACGGTGTATTTCAGAGTGAAAGACTCGTGACATTTTGGTCACTCGCCACATAGCCCTTCGGAAGACACCTGCCCACACTCCACAGCTCAATAGGAAAGTAGAAAGCCCCCATCGTACACTCAACAAAATTATGCGCACACTTCTACGCTGTTCTCTTCAGTCAGTCTCTATGTGGCCACATGCCCACGCATTCGCCTGTATTATCCGTAATGAAAACCTGGCAGCTAACGAACGGTTCCATTCTTCTACAGAAAAATGGACAGGTACCACTGTACCGCGCTTCCCTGAGGCACGATATGGGTGCGTCGTGATGTTTAAACTGACTGGGAACAAGGCCAAGACTGCCCACAAATTCACTATCAAAGTCGGATTTGGTGTTCATACCACACCTGATACATAGAAAATTCAAAATTTCGCTATGCAGCGACAATTATGTTCTCGTGGTGTTAAGTTCCTAAGTGATGAGCTTCCACCGTGGTCAGCCAACGGTAAAAGATGTACCCGCAGAAAGACTCCTTCCTCTACGGGGTCCTACTTCCCCTCCACTATGTTGGACGATGATATTAACTCCCCTCAACAGCTCTCGGACACTTCGGACCCTCCATCTGCGGACTCCTACTCATCCTCGACGATGTTTGATACTGGGATTAACTCCCCCCAACCATTTCTGGATGATTCAGCGACCTCTTACTCTTCCTCGACTATGTTTGATGATGTGATTAATTCCCCTCAACCTGTCTCCGATGATTCGGTTTCTCTGTCCGCAGCTTCCTACTCATCATCTACAATGTTTGATACAGACATTAACTCGCCCCAATCATTCTCGGACGACTCCGCCCCTCCTCCCACAGACGACTCTTTATTTGACGACGGGGTTAATTCCCCACAATCACTCAGTGATTACACAAATTCACTGCATCCAATTTCCCACATGTCCGATCTGCCACAGTGGACCCACTTACGACCATCGCCCCACTTGAAATCTCGGCTCTATTAGACACTGCTCTCTCCAGAAGCGTTAAACAGGCTGGTAAATCGCCCGATTGGCCTAAGTGGTCCGCCGCTATAGCAAAAGTGAACGCTGGACATGTCCGAAATGGACTTGCTGACATCGTCCCACTTACCGCGGTACCACCGAACAACCGCATCATCCACTCTAAGTATGTATTCACTAGGAATCATGACGAAAATGGAACTCCAACCATCTCCAAAGTCAGAATGGTCGCCAGAGGTGATCAGCACGAATACGGCACGTCTTATTATGTGACGTATGCACCGGCGGCTTCTGCCCCCACACTCCGAACTTTCCTCGCTCGTGCCGTCGGTCTAGGCCAGGACATGTTTCACTTTGACGTAGACACGGCCTACCTTTACTTCCTCAGACCTGGGTTGTTACCCCGCCGACCATGTCCTCCGTCTCAAACGCGGCCTGTATGGCTTGAAACAAGCCGGCCGACTTTGGAATATAGACATAGCAGCAAAACTTTCGGCACTTGGTTTTAAACGTACTGCGGCAGATGAGTCCATCTGATATCATGTCATACACAACATACTCATAGTTATCTATATAGATGAAATAGTACCCTCTGTTGACCGTAACTCCGGCAAGGAAGTCTGGCTATTTAAAGCCCTCAGCGCATCTTATTCTATGAAGAATCTTGGGCTGGCGGTCACCTAGTAGGCTTTCGTATTCGCCAATTGCCTAACCCTATTACGATCGACCAGACAGCATACGTAGAACACATGTTAACTACGTTCAACCTCACCGATGCCATCACTAAGCACACTCCTGGTGCTGGACCTCACCCTACTACGTTGGAAGCCCCTCCCTACACTGGCTCAAACTATCGCCAGCTCCTCGGCGCCCTAGGATTTGTGGCGAATATGACTCGTGTCGATATCGCTGTCTGCCTTAACCAATTGGCCGCTTTCTCTACAACCCCCAATGAGCTACCTTACAAGACCCTTCATCGTATTCTTCACTACCTTTCTGCCACGCGCCATTGCCCTCGTCTACACACGTAACACCACCACTGAGCTACTTGTGGCGTAGACGGACAGTGACTGGGGAGGCTGTCACGATAACCGCCGCTCCCAAACCGGTACATTGTTATGTTTTAATAACACTCCCATATATTGGAAGCCACAGAAACAGAAGACCACGGCACTCAGCTCCATCCGAAGCTGAATACGTGGCAGCGTCCGATACAGTACGTAGTATCTCTTGGATCCGTAATATACATGAGGATTTCCACTTGGATTGGGCAGCCCAACATAACCTCTAACCATAGTTGCACGCTTGTATGTTTATGTTTTAGCGTATATATTTATGTTTTAGTGGATGTTCATAGTTTGGTTTTTGTCTAATAATAGTAGTTTCCATAGAAACATATAACAACGCCTATAACTTTGTACTCTCAAGAACTAAAGTTTATTAAAGTATTTGTATATATTATATACATATGTTAAGAAAATGTTTGTTAGCCCAAATTTAACAACGCCTATAACATTGTACTCTCAAGAACTAAAGTTTCTTAAAGTAGTTTGTATATATTATATACAAATGTTAAGAAAATGTTTGTTTGTGCAAAGTTCCTTATTTTGTGTATCTAAGGACAACGGAATAATAAGGTAACTAGGTGAGGTAGAAAAACCTATTTGAGATTCTCTAAAACCAAGTTGACAATAGGTCACGCTTGAAACCCCCCCCTGAATCTGAACAGATGTGTGTTTGAGAAGCTGATCACGGAAGTATTCGTGTTTATCCCGGCCAAGGGGGTTCGTTAAGAGTTCGGCCAGGTTCTCAGACGTAGGGATGTAGGTGATGGAGAGTGTACCAAGTTGGACACATTCTCTATTGTAGTGGTGCCTGATTGCGATGTGCTTCAGGCCTTTAGGGGTGCCCGTTCCTAGGGCAATCTTAATAGCGGATTGGTTATCCGCATATAAAGGTGTGGGAAGGCTGGGTGTCACAATGCGCATGACCTCTACTTGCAACAAGGACAACTGCTGATAGGCGAGCAGAGGAAGGTGCTAGATTCATAATTAGTAGCAATACAAGAGGGCTAGCTGTTAATATAAGTGGTGAGGAAGTTGCACACCGTATTGCAAGGTTGAAGAACTACAGAATAAGTGCAAAATTCTGTATGGATGATCTGGCTTGATCGCCTTAATGCAATGCGGATTGACAGTTGTGCACTTGAAATTGGTATGGTTGGTATCGAAGGCCCAGCAGCTACCAGAAAGCACGGTACCATTGATCGTCTTAGCTACCAAAAATACTGTGTTCAAGGGTGTAAGAATCTTACCATGAGAATTTGCACACGTTGTCAAATGCGTTTGTGCGTCAAAGGTGTAAAAGGGAAACTGTTCGATCTATGTCACGACATAAATTATGATGGTAGCGTACAGCATTTTCGAAGAAAAAACAAACAAACAGTGAATAAACAATCAATACAACCCGTTTATTATTCGTACATATCATAGCTATAAACACGTATATACACTTGAACAGAATGTACACTCAAAGTTCTATTTTGAGAAGAAAAAATGACGCAGAAGTGCACATTACCTCATAAAGTTTAAAGTTTAAACTTTTATATTAATAAGTTTTACGTTTAAGTTCGAACTTTTAAGTTTTATGTGGACCACTGTCAGTTGGATGGGTGCAATTTTTGGGTCATGGTGTCAATATCAGAATTGTCCCATTTTTCTTTCTTTCAAACTGCCAGTCGGCTAGCGCCCGCCACAATGACCGTTTGTGACACGCCTTTTATTGTTATGTTATTTTACATGCTTTCCTTTCTGGCTTTGTATGTGCAATGTCCGCACATTTTGCTAGCTGCTGCTGCTGTACGGTTGCGTGTGCTGTGACCGTGTGCCGTGTGTCGTGTCGGTGTGGTGACTGTGGTGACGACTGCGGCTGCGAAAGTATTTAAATTTTTGCATGTATGTCCAGTACCCGTGAAACATTGACTAGACGTCTGATGAAGGCAGCTAATGGGGTCATAGGCTTAGAGAAGGTGGCTGAATCTTCTAAACTGAATGCCGAGATATAAAGTTTTCAGTTGCTGTCCATGCAGCGTTCTCGAGAAGTGTATGTATGATTGAACCTTCGTTGGCAGTTGTGTTTACCAGAGCTGGGATCAACGCGATGATATCGAACCCAGTGTTTGGTGAAGAAGTCTTGGAAAATCTAAAATCTCTAGAGGTACATATCCGTATTTTGTCCTGGTATGTTATCCCAAAGAGCGTGAAAGAGTAGTTGTAGAAAGCGCTTATGATGCTGGAGGGCTACCGCTTGTGGTCAAAGTGCAAGCTGAATTGCGAATCGCAGCTAGACCAGCGCGAGGTGAAGTAAATCGCAATGGGGGTGTAATGGGGTCAGCAGGGCAAACACCTGGATCTGCGCATTACACTGGGTACCATCGTGCAGAAGCAGTCAGCACTTGGAAAAGAACTATCTTTTGAAGGAAGGTGCAAGTGGAGCGCCTTCTCAAGCACGAAAGAAGCGGAAGCTAGGGAGAGCAGCACAGCGGAAGCTAGGGAGAGCAGCACAGCGGAAGAAGTGAGAGGATGCAGCTGCAGCTTTGGCATTGAGTACGGCGGCGGGGGCAGGGAGTAATCCTGTGGTGGCGTCAGCAGTGGCAGCAGCCAAGCCAGTGGCAGCGACAGCAGGCACGGTAGGGGGAGCAGTGGTCTTTGCTACAGCCAAGTCTGAATGACTTGGGAGTGTGGCTGAAGTGGCGATTGACGGAGTATCTGTGTCTGGATATCTGGATACAGGTGCAATACCGTCACTGATAACCATGGCTTTGGTAAAGTACATAAACTTGAAAATTTCGGCTTATGGGGGAGCACCGTTTACAGGAATAGGAGAGATAGGATTGCCCAGGCCCACAGGGAAGGTACGTACCCAGATACGGTTGAAGACGTGGAGTTCAATAACAGAGTATGTAGCCTTGGAGTTTCTCGTTGTGGAAAGTATACCAATGGGATGTCAGTTGTTGATTGGGTACCAGACGTTACACTATATGGATTGGAACTTATTGTGGTGGAATACAGTGCTGAAGGATGTACCAGATGCAGAGCTGGAATTTGCTGTGGCCGATCTTCAGCGGTCAGTAGCCATGGGGACAACTGCTGGGTATGTAGTGAATGACACCGTTGTTGAGTCACCAGTGTTTATGCAGAATCTGGACCATGAAGAGCAGGCTGAAGTTCATAAAATACCACGGCTGCAAGATAATTTCTGTCAAGCAGAATGGGTAGGAGAAGACCGTGAGTACAAAATTTGGGATTTAGCAATGGACTCAGATTTGGACATGTCTGGCATCATAGAAAATTAAGAGTGCTTAGTCAGCAGTCCCGACATGCTTAGCTAATAGGTGCTATGAGCTGTCAAATAAGCGTTCACCACAATAAGTCATGATTTTATAACTTACGTGTGACTCCATATGCATAGGAGATATATATATATATAAAACCCTCCGTAGAGGTGTAAATAAAGTTACTCTCTACTCGATACATTATGGCTCTATACGTTGAAACAGGTTATAGGCCTTGTTTCAGCATATAGAACCATAAGGTATCGAGCAGCTTCCAGGCATGAAGTTCAAACAGAGTGCATCTGATCCTTGCATGTTCATCATCGCCGAGACAAATTTTTCCTGTATTGTCTTACTACACGTTGACGACATTGTTGTTTGCGGCAAGCGGGAAAGCGATGTCCAGCACTTCAAAACACTACTCCAGAAAGAGTTCAGTTGTAAAGATTTAGGACACCCGCACTGGCTACTAGGTGTTCGTGTACTTACCACGGCAGATTCTATCAGCCTCGTACAGGACCATTACGTCGCTGAAGCTCTCGCGACATTTGATCTCAGCGACGCCCATACAGCTATCACTCCAGGCAAATTGACTGCCGTCTAGATGAACGAGGGCTCCCACCATCCATGCTCCTACCGCGAGTTGATCGGCACCCTTCAGTACCTTTCGGTCCTCACTCGACCTGACATATCATATCCATTGAACAACCTGGCTCGCTACACGGGCAACCTGTCGCTTGAGCACTGGACAGATGCCGTACGCATCCTTCGGTATTTCAAAGGGGCACCCGACCTCGGCGTAATCTACAAATACAAACCAGGAGCTCATGTTATCGACGCTTTCGTCGACGCCGATTACAACGCCTGCCTCGACACACGACGCATTACCAGTGGTTACATCCTCCGTGACAACGGCGTGCCCGTTGTCTGGAAGTTAAACGCCAGAAAACTGTTACCACTAGCACGACCGAGGCAGAATATTACGCGGCATCTGAGGCAGCCAAACGTGTTCAATGGTTACGAATTATATTAAGTGAGCTGGGCTTTCCACAGAACACGCCCACCCCGTTAAATTGCGATAACAAGTCGGCCATCCACGTCATTAACGACACGGGCACGAATAAGCACCTCAAACATGTCGATATCGGTATCCACCATATTCGGGATCTTCAAGCCCTAGGTGTCATTTTTAATAAGTATATCGACACTCATGCCAATATAGCTTACATATTAACCAAAAACACAGCTCGGCCGACACATTTTCGCCATACCAGCTCGATGCTCTCCGCCATTCCTAATCCTCTCCTCATAGCACCCGGAAACAATCTAGGGGAGACACAGGGCGCTACATGAGCTCACTGTGGTTTGTATCCTCCACAATGCATGATACATTGCCGGTTTTAGGGGAGCGTTTGGATAAAATCAGCATTGTCATCATTCTGCTCAGATAAAATTACAGTTCGGTACACAGAGGAGGATGGTTAAATGACAGGTGTCATGAGGTGTCAAATAATGGTTAACTGACAGGTGTTATGAGCTGTCAAATAAGAGTTCACCATAATAAGTCATGATTTTATAACTTACGAGTGACTCCATATGCATAGGAGATGTATATATAAAGCCCTCCGTAGAGGTGTAAATAAAGCCACTCTCCACTTGATATATTATGGTTCTATATGTTGAAACAGTATCTTGTAGATGGTTCTCTAATATGAATCAGCAAGCTACTCGTGCCCGTGCCAGTTATTACCGCTACACTCGGCCGATCTTAGTTCACGGGAGTATGTGTTCTTGGTGTCGAATTGCTAATACTAGTCACAGAAATTGAGTCTATCAGCGGCTGCGGCCATTTAGGCTTGCCGCAGATCATTTCAGGAATCGAGTGTTTCCCCAAGGCCTTGCGGCAGCTGTTTCACTTGCGTGCTCCTTCATGAGAACTCATGCCAGACATAGATACATGTATGCAGTGTGGGCAAAGTTAGAGTGTTTCATAAAAAAGAAATAGTTCGTTATAAATCCAACGGTTACTGTACGATGACCGCGACCAAAGTGCAGAACGCCCGCCAAACCTAATGATTTGGCTACCCTGAATATATGAGCGGCCCTGAAAACTGGCGAAATTAGGTGGAAGTGGTCCGTACAGGTCAGTAAATGGACGACTACCGACCCGATTGGATAAAAAAATACCTGACTCACGCTACTAGTCAATATTCAAGCGTTCTTATTGGCTATAAGAATGTTTGCTACTGCCATTTTGAAAAAAAAATACGAATATCCCTAACGTACGCCCATACAGTTCAGATTTTAAACCTTTTCGTGGCGATACATTACATGCTTCACCATCAGCTTTTATCTTCTATCAGATATGAGTCGAGGTTCATAGTAAGGCTGGCGAAACTGTATCAATTTACCTTTTTCAAGTATCAATACTTTGACCTTAAAATACGATACATTGTAGGCCATTAGACACCCACAAATATTCCTTGTATTAAATTGGCTTGACGCGGTTATTTTACCAATACTGTCGCGCTGTAACGATTTTAGTGCTCTTTCTTAGTTTTATTTTGAAGGGATAATACAAAAAAAGAGTACTATCGGGCTAGGCTTCGGTACAAGTGAATATCGAATATGAAGACCGTTGTACATAGCCATATTTCGCACCGTGCAGGTGCACATCATTACATCATCAGCTATGTCAGAGACAGCAATAAATAATTTCTACTCTGCCAAGCCAGTGAGTATTATGAGTGATCCGTCTCGGCGTATTTGCAAATCCATCTTAACCTCTATATTTGCGCCATCGTACTCGATTGCGACCGGTATATTTTTTGCCAACTAGCGTCATCTAAACATAACAATAGTCTCACGGGAAACGTCCATGAATTCGTTATACCGAACACGGATATCGACTAATTGGGATTGGACACTATTTAATTGGGTTTTATGATTTGATAGCTTGACATTCACACTAGATTTTCCATATCACACGCTCCTCGGAATGTCCACTATTTGCGTACTACCTCCCGGCCTCTCCATGACTATGCATTTCTGGCGTGTATGTTGCCATTATAAATCCTACCCAGAGCTGAAGAAGTACCTATTTTTATATTATACAATCAATGTTTGGGCATAAATCAGTTCGTGGTGACAACTCATGTGAAAAAAATTAAATAGAAAACGGCAGGAAGCCAAGCTTGAACAAGCTTCAACATACTGCATATGTCAGGAATCCAATACGAGCGTAGGGGTACCGCAGCAGGAAAAGTCCAGCTTTGATACTGTATTAAAGGCAATTTTTTTGTTTTGTTAACTCTGGTCGAAGTCCTAGTCATAAGAAATTTAATTAACTGAATTTAGGCGAATAGTAGGTAATGCTATGGAAGAACCTATCCTCTCAAACACTGTCGAGTAGCTGTTGTTGGTAATATAAAAAGTGGACCACATATAGTAAATAGGCCGATGCCTGTATTAATTGACGACGCAATATTAGCAGCCTGTATATCGCTTGTGAAAAATATCAAAACCGAGTTTCAGAACCAGCTATCTGCACCTCACAATCATTTTGCCCACACTCTGTAGCTTAGCCGCTTTCAAATAAAACTCCAGCTGCGCACATACATACCTAAATGCATCTATCGCACCCGTCGCCGACCTGACATTCTGGCTTCGGAAACCTCGAACAACTCGCGGTTGATCATGATATACTGGGCGCGGTACAGTGCTTCCACCTACTGGAAAGTATGTTTAAAGTTGTCTTGGATATATGTAATTCAATGAGAGCGCAAACAAGCTACGTAATAAAATCCTCAAGGAACAGTGGTCGGTATGAATTCTCCACAAAGTGGTATTGTAGGGAGTGTGATCGCCGTAAAGTAACTTAGATACACAATCTGGAATGAGTATTAGATATGTGCTACTTAAAAATATATCCATGGAATAGGAGTCAATATATATACATTCCTTAGGTCAATATATATGCTATTTGTGAGACGCAACGCTAAGTTGAGGTCTACGGACTACACAGCTGGTACACGTGTACGAGAGACTTGGAAAATCTGTAGCATATACAAAACGTATATGAGACCGCATCTGTATCACATAGGAGACACACAGCGTTGCAGCGGAACACAGCTTAGGCCTAATCATGCTTATATATCAGGTTTAGGGTCGTAAATGAACAGAAAACTGGGGTCTTTGGGTTATTTGCTACTAACATACGTTCGAGATCCTTGCTAATCTTTCGAGAATTCGCTTCGTCCTCCTCCTGCCTCCTGGTCACATCGCGGGTATACTGTGCAATTGAGCGGGGATTGGTGTGCTAAAGATTAGCGCATTGAAGTAGGTATCCATCCTTTCCCTCCATACGTTAGCATACAAACGAAAGATCAAGTGCATATCGTCAAAGTAGAAACATAGCACATTGAAAAGATTAAGATTTAGATTTAGATTTGATGGAGACTAATTCTGGAATCTCATACGAAGAAGTGTATTTACTGTTTGTGTAATTACGCGTAGACGTACACACGAGTTAATATAGTTCATGAACACATCTATATGTGAAATTTACTTGACAAATACTTGTATAGTATGTGATGACTACATTTTCCGGGAATATGTATACAGGTAATTATATATATACCCACGCATACATTTGATAAAATATGGTCATTCTGTAACAGTACCACTTTGTATCTACTCATGTATACCAACATAGCGTGCGAAATAAGCGCAAAAAAGAACGGATTCACCTTATTTTTCTCGGACTCCAGTTGTAAGGACAGTGTAGCGTTGGCCGTGGTGAGGCTCTCCACCACTTGCTGCTGGTTGATTAGCTGGTCCGTTAAGTTGTTCATTCGCGCTTCCAGTTCCACAAGGGCCTCTGTGCGGGGCTCAGCAGCGGTGAACTGTAAGGCAATTTGATCCGAAAAGGTTAGATTGTTCACAGGAAATGTATATAATGTATATCAGTCGCCAATGTGGCTGTTATTCGATACGAAAAGAATCGCAACACTGTGAGACAATATAGCCCCATACGGGAGAATCGGAGTCAACAATGGGAGGTATGACACACGGATAACTCTGACAGGGTTCAAGGTTGGCCGAGCCCCACATACACTGGCTTGCATCTGCGCAGTCTCGGACTGTTGTGTTTGCAACTGTTGCGCCAAGGTTGATTTGGCCGCATTCGCTTCAGCCAGAGAGCTCTTGTACTCCTGTGATGTATTGGTTAGAAAATGAATCATTTAGTCTGCGGTCGACTACAGTATCGTATAATCCAGCTGAGCGTAAAGAGAAGAATCATCAGATTCGCATGCAAGTAATTGGGAAGACTTTCACATCGGAAGTGTACTCAACTGCAGACTGGTCATCCTTCGTTGCCGTGCGAGACACACCTCTATGGTATTCAAATGACGTGACTCCAACTGGTGCATCTGAGTCCTCATAGCACTTAGTTCACTTTCTAATTCGTCGGCTGTGTCGGCCTGAACTTCCATATCTCTGCAACAGCACACACACACACACACACACACGCACAATACAAGAAAGAAGTCCAACGATGAGTCATTCAACTTATGCATGGGCAGTAGAAGTTCACAAGTGCACGAATCAGATGAGTCATGTATCGATGGCGGATTTGAGTTAGAAAATATAATTATGTTTGTGCTAAGCATTATCGAGTGACAGTGTAGGTCTCATGATGGATCATTCCTCGGATGTTACGATATATAGCATGTACAATGCCTAACGTGAAAGCACAGAGTTTTGTTTGGAGTACTGGCCAAGCAAGTCATACTAAATTAGAGACCTCGGCCAAATTGATTTTCAAACACACACACACACCCACACCCACACACACGCACATATATATACATACATACATACATACATATATACATATATATATATATATATATATATATACCAAACGACAATCATCATGTCTAGAAAAACCATAAAGATCTAAACGTGATTAAGAAATCAATGTCATCTGTGATTGAAATGTGGCAACGTTACCTTTCGTGCTGCTCCTCGACATTCTTCAACTCAAATCTCAACTCCTTAATCTGTATTTGCGATTGTAGCAGCTCCGACCGCAATGCCTCCATATCCCGCTGTGGCGAAAAGGAGAAACAGGTGTCATTGAGAATACTAGATCTATCAAGTGATTCTATAATATTTACTGCTATAAACAAGCAGCTGAGAATCATAGACAAGAAAAATTTAAAATGGTCACGATATGGTCAATACTCAGAACATCATGGGAACGAGGAAATGTTCAAACAAGTGTCGTAATGTGTAATCAAAATGTTTGAGAGGAATATTGAAATAGGGTAGACGGGGGAAGAAGCAATGGAGGTAGTATTGATGGTATTTTATATAAAAATAGTTCGAGATATATGCTGAGCCACCTGTCATGCATGCAACTTAAGCAAGGGACATTAGAAACTCAAGGCAAAAATATAGGTTCAACTACTATGATAACCCTTGAGCACTCATGATAACAAATATAAGCACAAATACTTTGACAAATTAGATGGGATATGCTAAATACCAAGGGAACAGCAATGCTATCTGGCCGTTGACAGTACTATCTGTATACAGGACTACATGATCGCTTATACCCCAAAGATAACTTCTCGGCCACTTGCATACACACATAGAGCAGCACAAGGCCTACTGCTACGCTATCTGCACATCGGCAGTACTTCCGGTATGCAGGCGAAGTTGTAAATAAACTGTACTAAATGATCGCTTATACACTACCCTAAACTAACAGACACTTGCATACTAGCATCAGACCTACTGCTACAATACCTGAGCATCGACAGTACTCCCCGTCCCGCTGCTGCTCAAGTCGCCCCCCGCACCGCCGAACTTCATCTGTCCAATCAGCACATCTTTTTCCTGCGGTCGATATCAATGTGCCGTTCAGGGATTCAGCACAACGGTCTGAGGATTTCACAACTAACTAGCATAGGCACCATACCATGTCTATCGACGCTACGGCAACTCAGCAACTAAATACATCTTAGTTCTGCATCACAGTAGACTGTGCATATGTGCTACAATGAGTATACATTTTATAATATCTACTGTCTGTAAATGTGTCAAATTTCGTTCATAACCTGACCTGAAGGATCTTTCCCGCACGCTTCTTATACTCTTCGAATTGTTTCTGTATCTCCTCGCGTTCTCGTTGTATCGTGCGGTTTACCCGATCAGCATCCTTGATGGAAACTATTTGGTACGAGCAAAGGTATAGTTTATATCAGATAGTAGTCTCAGATCATACATACTAGTGTATACAATATTAATGCTCATGATAGTGCTGGTACGTGACAGTACGATTGGTACCGCATACTCGCAAGGCCAGCCAATATAGGTGTAAAAAAGAACGTCGATGCAGAACGAAGACGTAATCGTGCACAACGCATGCTATACCAACATCTTAACATCTGATTAAGGCTGGTTAAAAAAATAATCAAACACAAGGAAGTGTTGCGACAAATCATAATCATTGACGACAAAAGAAGTGATGCCACAAGTCGATTACAACACAGGCAAATGGGCCCCGTACCTTGCAGATTTTCGATTTGATAGTGCAGACTTCCCATCTCCGTCGTGGCTTCTTGTGCCTCGCTTTCCAGCTTGAGTTGCAGCATGACGACCTGAAAAGCAATCGAAACAAAATAGATGGATACTACCGTGCCAAAGAGCCAATGAATCGGCACTCAACATCGCGGTTTCGAACAAGCACTTGCGGTGATTCTTCAGATTGCTCCCCACGCTTATCAGATTAACTTCACATCACAAGTTGGCATAGAAATCGGTCCAATTTACGAAATTAGATCAATTCCAATGCAGCAACCAGGAGTGTGACATACCTCATTGCGAGCCTCTACCGCTTTCTTTTCCTCCGCTTCGAGTGCCAGTTTCATGCTTGCGACTTCCGCTTTCATCGCCTCTTTCACGGAGCTATTCTCTCCGGACATATTGGCAGCTTGGGCCAAAAGCCGCCCTGTCAATAGAACAAAAGACAGGTCCCGAAAACCGTGAGCATGACCCATCACAATACCAGCCGATGCTCTCTACTGGGACGCAAGCCTTCACAAACGCCTGCCCACACATGCCACACAATACCACGAGTGCGTGACTTATGTATATGAACAGAGCTACGCGGAGCGTACTGCTACACATCTGCATGTTGTTTGCATACAGTCCCAGTGTCCGATGAGCGAGTACAACTTGCATATGGGCAGCATAGGACATACTTTGGTTCAGGTGCGGGGTTAAATTTGTCGCCAAAACACTCGAGTTTGGTTCTGTATGCGCAGACCAGACTACCCAGAAACTTATTGAAGATAAAAACTTTCTCATGACCATTTATGAGTAACAAGCCAGCATAGCACAATAGCATGTCTTCGTTATGTGCCACACTGCCAACAGAAATATTGCCTAGACCGTCAAAAACAACGAAGAGTCAACAGAAATCTGACCCAGAAATGGAATACAGTGACAGAGTGTGAGACGTAATCTCAATGCCGCATGCCTGACCAGTACATAATAACCACAGCAACGCGCCACACCTTTCTCTTCATCCAGTGTAGTGAGCTCATCATTCAGTGATTTGAGTTCGATCTGTAGCGCTTGCACCTGCGAGGTCTTTGTCTGCTCCTGTGCTTCCGCCGTGGCAAGCTGAGGTTTGCCAAGAAGATTTGAGAGTTAACCAGCAACACAAAGTGACCACTTAAGGGGACTGAACGGATACCAAAAAAACCCCCATGCGATACTCAGAATGTTGTCTCCATATCACAGACAAACTAGAACGAGACGCAAAGACACTCAACAACTCTGTGATCTATACAGTCCGCCATATAGCACGGGACATCTTCACATTTTTGATATGGACTGACTCTCTATAACTATTTAAACAAACACAGCGCTCTATATAGCAACAGACACCTACGCATTCATTACCTTCTCCCGCATTTCCGTTGTGCTCTTCAGATATGTCTCGACCTGTTTCTGCGCCGCGGCAAGCTCCGCTTTCACTGCAGTGTGTTTGGCTTCGTAAGCGGCCCATCGCTTGCCTACCTCTGCATTCTGATAAGACATCCGTATACAAATATAAGGAATGAATAACATAGAGGCGATGACAATGGAAATGGAAATGGAAGTGGAAATGGAAATGGAAACGGAAACGGAAACGGAAACGGAAATAGAAATGGAAATGGAAACGTAAACGGAAATATAAACGGAAACGGAAATGGGAACGGAAATGGAAATATAGAAATATAATTTTGTTTCATATACGTTATAAAACGGTTTCAATCTCCATATAACACTGCCTTTTTAAACTTAATCGTATTCACTACGTGCAACTAGGTGAAATCGAATAATGGATCGGGAATAAGACGCTTGCAAACATAGGCAAGCAGCAAGTTACTGCCCCTGAGAGTAAACGCGTGAAGCGAATTTATATTTACCTGCTCTTTGAACTCATCTAGCTCGGTTTCGAGTTGTGTGGCATACTTCTGCAGCTCATCGTGCTCCGCTACAAGTGTACTCTGAGACTCATTGAGCAATTCAAAGTCTTGCTGCAAGTCATTTTGAGCCTCAGATAGCAACGTAAACTCCTCCTTCACAACAGGCGGGGACAGGAGCAGGGTGCCAAATAGACAATTTGTGAGTGGTACGATTTGGTGTGTGGATAAGACATCAAAGTTCGCGCATGTGCCTCAGTTGCGTTTGCTCAGGTCTGCCATCAATGAAATAATCTATCTATCACTCCACACATCACAGGGACGTGTTGCCGCCCACGATGGTTTAAATGACAGGTATAGAGACATGCAATGCACGAGTGCAAAGTTCAAGCAGTGCATACGACCTAGTTGCACTTGGCATTCCCTCATCTGTGCACCCATGCGTGCCATACAGCTCAGTACCTGTAATGCAATATACTCCTCCATGCCCACGGGCGACTTGTACTCTCGTTCGGCGCCATCATCGTGCGAGGTGTATTGGGAATTGATGTCGTGTTCTACTTCGTCTTCGCTCCTTTGATTCTCGGATGCTACCTCAGAAGTTTCTAGTGACACACCCAATCGGAAATAAGCTTACATTAGGTGGTTGCAACAGAAGGTTCATTGGTATAT